ACAGCACATCTCTGGCCCATTGTCATTACTTCTGAGGTGACTCCCCAGGTCTTCTCTCAGACTTAGCTCCCTAAGGCGTCATTATTTCATGTGGAATGCTTTCATTTGTCTCTGTCCCTCCATCAGCTCTAGAGTAGACTTGGGCCTGCTTTGTGCTCATTGTAATTCTCTCTCCTCCGTATTGTTGTTGTTGCTGCTGCTGCTGCTGCAGAAGACGACACTGGCCATTTTGCTGACCAGCTATCCACTCCCTTCCATCAAAATCAATCATTTTCCTTTGAGTCTCGTTCCTCTGTTAGAAGGTCTCTCAAAAAAAGATTCTGGGGGGCCAGCAAGATGGTTCTGCGGGTAAAGACACTTGCCACACAAGCCTGAAGACATGAACTTGATCAGTAGGACCCAAATAAAGGTAGGAGAATCAACTACATAAAATTGCCCTTTAACCACAAGTGAACTGTGACACACACACACACACACACACACACACACACACACACACACAACACTAATAAAATATAATAAAGTATTTTTTAAAAGATCATCTAGGACAAGCCAGATTACTCAGTGGTAAGAGCAATTACTAAACAAGCTGAGTCTGATTGCCAGAATTCACAGTGCAGAGAGAAAACAGACTCAGGAAAGTTCCTCTGCTCCCCACATGCATACTGTGGTATGAGCACACACACAATGAATAAGTGAGCATACTAATAAAAATGTAAGTAAATGAAGTCACAGTAGTGACTTGGGTCATTTGCATTGAAAATCTGTCATGTGCAGGGGTCATAACAGAAAAATAGTAACTATTACTGCACACGTTTAAAAAAATTTTTTTGAGGCTGGGTGGCGGTGGCACAAGCCTTTAACTACAGTACTCAGGAGGCAGAGCCAGGAGGATCTCTGTGACTTCGAGGCCAGCCTGGTCTACAGAGCGAGATCCAGGACAGGCACCAAAACACAGAGAAACCCTGTCTCGAAAAACCAAAAAAAAAAAAAAAAATTTGACAAAAAGCACCCAAAGCATGGAGGAGGGCACTGTAGAAGGGAACAAATTAGAACAAAGTCTCATGACACACGTATGAAAACACCCTAATGAGTCTAGTATGGGAGCACATGCCTTTAGTCTCTGCCCTCAGGGCTCAGACAGGTGGATCTTTGCTTGAGGCCAGCCTGAGCTACATAGTAACCAGCCAAAGCTACAGAGTGAGACCCTGTCTCAGAGAGAGAGAGAGAGAGAGAAGTCTCCATGACGCTGGTCATGTGACCGTCATATCATGTCAGGAAGCAGCAGGCACCACATTCCTCGCAGCACCAGGTTTTATATCCTCCCTGCCTTTTTATGGAATTATACAATTATGCACAATTCTATACATGCTATATTCTTCCTTAGATGTGGTGGGCATGCTTTTAATCTCAGTGCTTGGGAGGCAGAAGCAGGCAGATCTCTTGAATTCAAGGCCTGCCTGGTCTACATACCAAGGTCCAGGTTAACCAGGGCTATACAGTAAGACGATATCTCAAAAAATATTGTATTTCCATATTATTAGTGGGGATGTGGGTATTAGTGATGTGGGTTCATATAATGTGCGTGTATGTGACATGGGTGTATGTGGTGTGTGTGTGATATGGGGGAGTGTGATGTGGGGAGTGTGATGTGGGTTCGTGTAATGTGGGTGTATGTGATGTGTGTGTGTGTGTGTGTGTGTGTGTGTGTGTGTGTGAGATATGGTTGAGTGTTATGTGGGGGGTATGATATGGGTGTGTGTGATGTGGGTGTATGTGACATGGGTATCTGTAACAGGGATGTGTGATGTGGGTGTTTGTGATATGGAGGTTGTGATGTGGGTGTTTGTGATATGGGAGTGTGTGATGTGGGTGTGTGATGTTTGAGTGTGATGTGAAGGTATGATGTGGGGTGTGATCTGGGGTGTGACAGGGATGTGTTAAGTGGGGGTGTGCTGTGGTTATGTAATGTGGGTGTGTATGATATGGGTGTGTGCATGATTTGTGGGTGTTATGATGTGGGGATGTGATATGGGGATGTGTGATATGGGGATGTGTGATGTGGTGTGTTTGCAATGTGGGTGTGGGTGATGTGAGTGTGTGACATGGATGTGTGACATAGGTATGTGTGACATGGATTGTGATGTGAGTGTGTGATGTGGGTGTGTGTAATGTGGGTGTGTGTAACTTGGGTGTGGCTGATGTGTGTGACATCGGTGTGTGGCATAGGTGTGTGTGTGACATGGATTGTGATGGTGTGTGATGTGGGTGTGTAAGTGTAGACACAAAGACACCACAGCACTCACGTGGCAGTTGAGAACCATTTTGGGGAGTCAGTTCTCTCTTTTTAACCCATAGGAATGGGCTCAGGTCACCAGGCTGCAAGGCAATTGCTTTTCCTGCTGAGCCATCTTGCTGGCCTCAATAATTTTCGTAGCAGTCAGTTTTCTGCATTCAATCATTTCCTGCTTAAAATCCCGAGATTTATTTTGTGCGTTGAACACTGGCTGATGAAGCCATCAGAAAAGATCTTTAGAGCTGAATGCCTTGTCACTTGTGTGTCATTGCTGTGCTCTGAATACTCGGCCGTTGTGCACATCACTTTCTAGTCTGCAGGTGTCACAGCCCTGAAACGGAGCTGTCGAGATGCTGATGAGAATGTGGTACGGATGCCTGGAAGGGCCATGCCTGAGCTTGTGCTGCCTGGTTCCTGTTTGATTAACTTGACACAAGCTGGAACTATGTGGGAAGAGAAACCTCAACTGAAAAAATGCCTCCAGCAGATTGCCAGTAGGGCATTTTCTTGAATAATGATTGAGGGAAGGCAGAGGTGAGCGAATCTCTGTGAGTTCCAGGCCAGCCTGGTCTATGGAGCGAGTTCCAGGACAGCCAGGGCTACACAGAGAAACCCTGTCTCGAAAACCAAACCAACCAAACAAACAAACAATAAGTAGATAGATAAGAAAAGAAAGAGGGGAAGGGAGAGAAAGAGGAAGGAAGGAGAAGGGAGGACGGACGGGAGGTGGGAGGGAACTGAACAAACCAGGAGAAGCAAACCAGTATTCCACCACAGCTTCTACCTCAGCTCCTGCCTCCAGGTTCCTGCCCTGACTTCCCTCAGTGATGGAGTGTGACCTGAGAGCTGTGAGACGAAATAACCCTTTCCTCCCTGAGTTGCCTTTGGTCACAGTGTTTTATCACAGCAAGGGAAACCTAAGGCAAGCCTTAGGTTCTTCATGTTGACAGAAGTCCTCCCTAGAGGTCATGGGACTAGGACTGTGTCCTTGATGGACACCAGCTGAACCGTCCTTACGTGTCTTGACTCGTCCTTCCATTCGGCCATCCTTGTTTGGTCTCATCTCCTAACCCACTCATCACCTTCTATATTTTATACTTTCTAAGACGTGTGCTGGGCTCACAAGCAATTGGGTGCAATTTCTCTGTTTTCAACCTTCCTACAAAGTCTCCTGCTGGTGAGGTCTATTCACAGGTTCCGGGGTTACAGTAAGAATGGGGTGCTGAGGTCTGTATTCACAGGTTCTGGGGTTACAGTGAGAATGGGGTGCTGAGGTCTATTCACAGGTTCTGGGGTTACAGTGAGGATGGGCTGCTGAGGTCTGTACTCACAGGTTCTGGGGTTACAGTGAGGATGGGCTGCTGAGGTCTG